CCTGCAGGATGTGGTCCCACATACCTGTGCCACCAAGGCTTTGCGGCTGTCCCTCTTCACCGCCATGGCGAAGTCCAGCCACGTCCACGTGTTGTTGTGGTACTCCAGGCACGGCAGCACCAGGTTCAGGTCACCCCAGTCCACACTGTTCTTCTCACCCTGGGTGATGGGGTGTCAGGGAGCCTGGGAAACTCCCCCAGGCCACCCCCAGCTGGAGCGGCCATGCCCCCTCCCCAGCACGCCCTGTCCCGCTGGCCCCTCACCTTGTAGCTGACACAGAGCGGCACCTGCGGGATCTTGATGTAGATGAAGGAGTTGTTCATGGCCGCGCGCTCCTTCATCTTGTCGATGTCATCCACGGGATGCTGGGGACAGAGCAGGAGCCATGAGCAGAAGGGAAGGAGAGGGGACCCAGCCAGGAACCAGTGGGGAAGGGACAGCTGGGCACTAGGCCATGGCATTGCTTCATCGGGGAGAGGTGAGAACAGCTCTGGCATGGTGTTAGGAAAATGGGATGCTGCAGGGATCACATCAAGCGTGGAGATGCTTGGTTGTAAAGGATGTAAATCCTCATAGTGGGAGGGAGTAGGAGAAAACAGGGACAGGCAGGAGGAGCACGTCACTGCCCAGCCCTGCAGTTGGGGGAAGACAGGCTGGCCCTGCAGCAGGGCTCTCCCCTATTCCCCCTTCAAGACAGCAGCAGGTACCTCGGGTGCTTTTCGGAATGATCTTCTGACTCCTGATGTCCGATTGAGTCCCTGAGCGACTCCCTTCCCTGGGCCCAGCGAGTCATCGGCCAAGATCAGCTGCCGTGGCTTCACCACGGGGATCCCTGGGACAAGCAGGGGGGGAGGGGGTGGCTGGTATCCGGCTGAGGGTCAGCCATGACCCAGTTTCCCCCTCAATGGCTCCCTGCCCACAGGGGAGACCACAAGTCCCTGTTCCTCAACAAGTGACCAACCAGCAGCTGCGCACAAACATATCCTGGACACGCAGCCAGAGCTGCTGAGGGACATCCCTCAGGTTCCAGAGAAGAGGGTGACCATCAGCCTCTCACCTGTTGTCACCAGCTTGGACTTGTCTTCCTCATCCCCCACCTCCTCCTCCTCCACGTTGCGGCCAGGGAAGAAGAAACCCATCATCCTGTGGAAGAACTGGTGGGTGAGCTGGATGGTGAGGGGTACGACATTCACCTGTGGGAGAGAGGCACGTCAGGGCTGGGCACACGCTGCCTGTGCCCCTCAAGGACCCTGCCACCTCCCAGCTCAGCCCCAGCACCTCAAAGTGCTCCTTGATGGAGATGCCTCCCACGGGTGGCCGGACTTTGCTGAAGATCCTCAGTGCCAGCTGCCGGCCGGACTGGCAGGAGCTCTGGGGACGCAGCACCACCTGCAGGGAAGAGGACGGGTGGCTGGGGGGAGGACAGGCCACCCTCGCCAGGCCACCCGTGGGTCCCCAGGGTGCAGGGCTGCTCCACCAGGCTGCCACTTGCCTTGTACACAGCGTTGGGCAGGAGATTGTTCATCGTCACCCAACCCAGCTCCAGCAGATGCTCGGCCGTGTCATCAGACTTGTTGACCTGCACACACAGGCCCATCAGTACCACAGTCCCAGTCCCCAGCTCGGGGGCTTCGGGTGCCACCAGCCAGCTTGGTACCTTGCTGTAGAGGAAGCGCTGGAGCTCCAGCTCGGCTATGCCCAGCTGCCCATCCTCCTCGGTCAGGCGCCAGCGTGCCTGGGCAAAGTAGAACTCAGTCCGCCGTGCCACGCTCACATCCTCTGGCTGCTTTCGCAGCTCCATCTTGTTGGCTCGCTGCAGCTGGAAGTCCTTGAAGCACCTGCAACAGAGAGGAGAACGCTGGGATGTGGGAGCCCTGCAGTAAGGGGGACACAACACTGGGGAAGCCAGAGATGGCCCCTACCTGATCAGTATGTTCAGCTCCTCACTCTCCAGCTGCAGGTCAGCTTTCTCCTGGCTCAGCTGCTGCTGCAGCCTGTGGTTGAGGTCAAGCAGGCTCTCGTTTTTGCTGTCATCCTGCAGGGACTGAAGGACAAACAACCCTCAGCGCCCTCTTCCCTGGAGCAGGGACCCTGGGGAGCCAGGCCCTGCCCCAGATGTGGGCTCACCTTCACGTTGGAGTACATCTGCTTCTCCAGCTGCCGGATCTGGGCAACGTGCTGCCTCACGGCCTCTTGCAGGTGTAGGATACTGCTGCGCTGCTCCTCGGGGTTGCTGGAGATTTCCAGCTGGAAGCGTACCCGTTGTTTCTTCTCACTGTGCTCCTGGACAGAGGGATAGAGGAAGGTTTGGATTGCCCTGGATGCAGTGAGTGACAAGGTGACCTGAAGCCTCCTGGATACCTTGCGTTTGGGCTCCACGTGCAGCAGCAGGTTGTTGACTATGTCGAGGATCATGGCGTACTGTGCAGGGTTGGTGGAGATCTCCAGGTCGTGGTGGATCAGTGTGAACGTATCCACAGCTCCTGCATGGACACACAAAGAGCAGGTGGGGCCTCAGCATGGCCAGAAACAGGATGCTTGTGGGGGCCAGCCAGAGATGGGGAGGGATGGGGAATGAGCCAAGGTGGTTATGCTGGCTCCAGCAGGCACAGCATGTCCAGCATCATCTGCTGCATCATCATGTGGCTGGGCACCCCTCCTGTATCTCAGCAGGGCCAAGACTGACCATCTCTGGACTTGGCTGGCACCTGTGGGTCAGCCCAGAGCAGACGCAGTGCCTGGAGGTACCCACCCTCCTGCTTCTTCAACAGATCCTCCTTCTCCTGGTTGGCGGGAGTCTCAGGGGGCTTTATCTGCGTGGCCAGCTCGGGGTCGATGTCATGGCTATAGCTGATGTAGTACATCCGGCAGCTACAGCGAGAGATGATCCTCTGCACCTGCTGGGTCTGCTGGGCTTCTGAGGGCTGGTTCCAGTCTGGGGACAGGTGAGGGGACCACGGTCAGAGCACCATGTCCTAGCATGTTGGGAGCCCCACGGCACAGGGCTCAGAGCATCAGCCAGCTCCTGGAGC